TCTCCCCAACCTCCCAAAGAACAAATACAATGATTTGAAATAAACAAAAGTATATTTTATATAATTAAGTTACAATTGTTGCTTGTGATTTGTCCTTTCTTGGTGGAGCCTAGCATAATTTGGCCTGAAATAGAATGTTGCCATGCCTATTGTAAACGTTGTCTAACATCACATCACTGAAAAAAATTGTATGCCTTTACCTTTACCTTACCTTACAGCAAGCACTATCACACAGTTAAGCTGATGAGAGCAGGATGGAAAATTGCATTTTAGGTTAAAAGATTGCATCATGATTGGCTTATATAGACCATTTTATCGCGCCACCAATGTTTCACAGCTCTCCAAAGACTTCCAGCGGCCTAGGCTAGTAGTTGGCTAGTTACAAATAGAGCACCGCGAGGTGCATCGTGCCATTAGACCTTTGCTATAGCAGCAGTAGACAACACATACAATCATGCTAATTATTGTATATGTAAACATTGAAATAGCTTTTTAAGACTCAGACTTGTTTTTAATTAATATAAACATTTCTTTCTTTTTTCGTTTTGAAATATTTGTGCTTATTAGTAATTTAGTTTTATCGTTTAATTATTCCATGATGGTAACTACGTAGATTGAAATTCTAGGCCTTTGGAAGTCCCCCAGTGGTGGTTGCCAGGTTTTCGGAATTTTCATTTTAAATTTGGCGAAATGGTGTATATGAAATACTGTGCCATAAAGATTTTTATTTGTATTGTAGTCAAAGAAAGCTGTTGTATTAACAGCAAGAGTCCATCCTGGTGAAACTAATGCAAGTTGGATGATGAAAGGTTTTCTAGACTATCTAACAGGAAATAGTGCTGATGCCAAGGTATGTACCCATCATGCAATACTATTCCTAGAATACAGTTCCATGCTCCCATCATGCACCCATCATGCACTTTATTTTCATTATGCAACACCATTCCCATCATGCAATTCCATTACCATCATTATTCTATAGTAGAGAACTTTTGATTGCCCAATGCGGTAGGATGTAGAATGTAATGACATCACTAAGAAGTCATCTGCACATGCGAGAACGTTAAGTTGTCCTCGTCGCGTGGATTCTAGGATGAATTTTTATAAAATCTGTGTTGTGCAGAGAACATACGACAGTCATGCATGAGTGAATCCGTTCTAGCGTCTCCTCGTCGCGCAATTCAAAAGCTCCCTATTATTGCCAAAGAAGGCGTCAGAATACAGATAAGATCCTTACTTCAGTCTTGGCAACTCTCCAAATATTTAAATTCTTTTTCTTTACAGTTGTTGCGGGACACATTTGTATTCAAGATCGTGCCGATGCTGAATCCTGATGGAGTAATTGTAGGTAATTACCGATGTTCTCTCTCAGGAAGAGACTTAAACAGGAACTATAAAAGCATCCTAAAGGATTCTTTTCCATCAGTGGCAAACACAAAGGTGATGATTAAAAAGTAAGTATGGCTGAGTTAAGTCTATAAAATATTTGGGAAATTTCCCAACTTTATAAAAATGATAACGAAAATGGTCATCTCATAAATCGTAAAAATTTTGAGTTATTAATGTTATCTATCATTGTACACTGCATATTACAAGCATCGTCACCGCTATTTGTTAAGTCAAAAAATGGATAGCATTATAAAATATTTACTATTGTTAAAATTGGACTGAGTGAATTTATGACAGTCAAGTGTAATATAATGGCAGCTAATTTAATGCAAACAGTAACATTACTTTTTGTAAAAAGATGAAACAGCAAAAGTAAGAATTTGAAAGTAATCTATTGTCCAGGATTCTCATTAGGCAACCTGTGGGCTACAAACCCGGTTCACCATGAAACTATCAGTTTGACCTGCATAGGAGTGGATATTGGCATCATCCATTACTATGCTACAAATTTAAAGTGATGCCAGAAATGTATGTAAAGTGAACAATTATAGATATTGGATATAAATAGATTTCATGTCGATGTCCGTGGAATGTCGTGGTGTCACATGATTTATTGCTGCCAAAATTCAGCTTAGGTGATGTTGAATATGTTTCGTCATTTAATGATTCTCTGAACATGTTTTCAAGATGACGTTCAGCAATACGATGACTTGCTTTGAACACAAAACCTGGGGGTGTCATTTCCGACTATCTGCAGGTGTCATCATTAAGAAACGTATTACACATTAATCTTGCAAATGTAAGTAAAATGTGTACAATTACAGTAGTTTTTGGCAGGATTCGAGCAATAATTACAAAATGGTTAATGATCACAATATCTACTTCTGCAGGTTGCAAGATGAACGAGAGATTATTATGTATTGTGATCTCCATGGTCACAGCAGAAAGCAGAATGTGTTTATTTATGGCTGTGACAATAAGCACAGTGCATCAAGAAGGTTAAGGGAACGCATATTTCCTGTCATCCTAGGCAGAAATGCACCAGAGAAGGTTAGTAAAAACACTTTACCTGTGAATGGTTAAAATATATATTGTTATTATTTAAACATTTTGTGTTTTGTTTTTCTCATTTTCAATTGGAATTCAAGAACCTAATACAGTATAAAAAGTAAAGTAGATGTTACTTTAGTTTAAAATAAAAATCAGTTCAACATTTAAATGTTAGGGAGTAAAAGAAGCGACACAAAAGAAACAAAACAAAAGCATTATAAGGATTGTATATTAGTTTTTATACAGGTTCTCATTATTTTATAAATTTATTTTTTATTCCAATTCATCATAATATTGTCATTCACAGTTCAATTACAAAAGCTGTAAGTTCAAAGTTCAAAAGAGTAAGGAAGGTACTGGACGTGTGGTTATATGGCAAATGGGAATTATGAACAGTTTTACCATGGAGGTAATTTCACTGAATTAATTATTACTTTTAAATTTGATCTTATTATTACTGTTGTTATGGTTTTAATTAATTGTTTTTGTTTTCATCGATATTATAATTTGTTACTATAATTTTATATTCACTATTATTATTACTAATAATTATTCATAATTTTTCATAAATATTATTATTTTATAATTTCATATTGAACAAATACACATTCATTGGATGCCATTGCCACTGTAAGAAAAGCATATGTTTGAAAGTAGATAAATTTGCAATAAAAAAATACTAACCTCTTGATTTCACCTTGTTTCATTTCATGTTATTTTTATTTATTGTTGCTAGGCTACCTTCTGTGGATCCTCATTAGGCTCCCGAAACAAGACTCACTTTACTACCAAAGATTTTGAGGCCATGGGATATCACTTTTGTGACTCACTTCTCGATTTGTGCGACCCTGATCTTTCCAAGGTTAGTCAATTATCAGATATTTTAATATCAAATGGAATGAATAATTTAAGCATGATGATAATGAAAATCATGATGATGTAGCGGCAGTTTGGCGCAGCGGTTGAGGTTTGGGCTTTCAATCGTAAGGTCAGGGTTTTGAGAGTCTACTGTGCAGATTCGCTTGTGTCCTTGGGCAAGGCACTTTGGCTACATTGCTTCAGTCCACCCAGCTGTATCAATGGGTACCAGCAAACTGCTGGGGACTAACCTGCGATGGACTAGTGTCCCGTCCAGGGGGAGTACAACTCTCATCCTCTTCACACTGCAGAAACTGGGGATAAGCTCCAGCCCTATGGGCCCCAGTGGCTCGGAAAGAATTTAGTTTAGTATAGTATTAATGAATAATTTAAGCATGATGATATGAAAATCATGATGATGGTTTTGGTGAAGGTAATACTAGAAAGATGAAAATGTTAATGATAATAATAATTGTGATAGTGGAGATGATGATGTTGATAATTATGGAATTATTATCTTATGGAAGATTCAATTTTATGTGTGGTGGTATTAAAATAATGATGGTAGTGAAAAATGATTTTGATGATGCTGATGGTGAAAGTGATGACACTGGTTATGTTGACGATGGTGAAGAGAATGTTAAATTTGTGATGATAGTTGTTGAGATGGTGGTGATGTCGGCTGGAATACAATTATAGATTTCTATAGTAAATCTTTGCCTAACTAACTAACTATTTTCATATAGAATGAATAAATATATATTTTATTCTTAACTAATATGTGGATATGTCATCTTTGTTTGCAAACATTTTCTATTAACATCAACATGGTAAATACATATATAATTTGAGATATACTGTCATTATATTATATAACAATTCCATATTCATCCATTTTATTTCATTTTAATTATTTTTTTTTCTTATTTTTTTTCTAATTTTCTCTTTACTTTTTATATGATTTGTTCATGCATATGTTATATCAGTTTAAGTGTATGTTAAAAGTACTAATATTTTAAATCAATTGGAATGTTGTTTGTAGTCAGGCAGATAGGCATGTTAAAATTATTCATTATTTTGTTATCTGTTTTAATGATGTTTATTATTATTATTACACATTTACTATCCTTCAGAAGTAATCATTTTTTTGATTGATTGATTAAATTATTTCACCTATCTATCTCCCATCATTTTGGTATCACTCCTACCTGATAGAAACCTCCCTAAGACCCCACGACCATCGGTATCCGACCATTTTGGTCGCGTCTGCATTTCGGTCGCGCTATTTTGGTTATGCATTTCGGTCGCGCTATTTTGGTTATGCATTTCGGTCGCGGTGTATGGAGCGAATGTACATTGGCATTCCATACCGTGGCTGTGAACAACGACCGAAATGCATAACAATAGGGTGCGACCGAAATGATCTGTATTCCTACCATCTGCCCTCCAAGCAAATTACATAGTTCCTTATAGCTTTGTATATCTGCCTTGTTTAGCTTTTGTAAAACTTACCTATTTCTCCCAGCATTATTACGGTCTTCCAAGCAACTCCGATTCCTCCTAACTTTTGTCAGTTAAGTGTATCCTGAAACCAACTCTTTCATAGTTCATCCTACCTCTGTCAACATAGTACATATCTTCCAGGCAACTCCCCTTTTTCCTAGTGTTTATGAATATACTCCATCCTCCAAGCATGAGTAATATACTGTAGCATGCTCTCCTCCACGCTTGAGTATCAAAATTGTTAATATACAAAGGAATGTATGTATTGATGTTTTGCATGTACAGTATTGTGTTCTGGTCAAATATTTGGTATGTTATTACTAACACTGTAGATGTAAATTTATTGTCAAATTACTAAGAAAAAGCTCCCATCCATTTTGTTTGTCTTTTATGCAAAAAACAATAAATTCTGTCTTAAAATATATTTTTGTCTACTTGCCCATATGTTTTTTTTTTTTTTGCTTAATACCAACACATAATTAACTAGGCTGTTTAGGTTTGTTTTTCTTTTTGTTTGAATAAAACAAAAAGACAAAGAAAACAATTTAAAAAAAAAAAATCATCAGTGTTACCAAATATTCACCCCAATTTCATTTGTTCTAGTATGACCAAATCTTGGATGAATTAAAGGAGAAGATGAGACAAGATATACTTGCACACCTTCAGCGAACAGGATCCCCTATGCCAATGAATGGTATAGTCGATTTGAACGAAGACTACACATCTGCTGTGGAATCAAGGTAAGATGATTAGACTGAGCCATTTTTTATAGGGTTCATTTTATTGTAAGTATGGTAAGAAATATTAATAATTACTCATTTTTTATATCCTTAGTACAAGTGGCTCAGACAGCTCTGTTGATGATGGTCTACCAGTCCATCTATTGGCTCTAGCACCAAAGGTAATATGCAACTTTTTGTTATGTGCACTCAAATGGAGACCATATGTATCCAAAATAAGACTATATACCATAGATATAAATGTATTGATACAGTGAAGTGTAGCCTATGCACTCATATGCTCTCTGTTACAGACTAATTCTAATAACTTTAAAAAAAATTGAATTGTTAATTTGTGTAGTATGTACTTAGATTTAGCTAATGTGGAGTTACATTACATAAAGCTATATGTACAAATATAAAAAAATGCTCACATAGCCCATATCCACTGAAAAATTGTGTGATATCTATTTTATAGCTCACTAAAAAGAAGAAATTAAAGAGCAAAAAGGAGAGAGACAAAAAAAGAAGCAGCCTGGAAAAACAAGCAGACAAAGAAACAAAAGAGAAGGAGAAAATTTCCAACCAAACAGACAATGAGGAAAAGAAACCATCAACTCCAAAACCTAATGAGAAAAAGAAGGTAATTAGTATTTAATTATAACTATCTATTGTCATTGTGCCTTTAAACAAATACACTCTTGAATCTTATCTCACTTGTAGACTACCAACATCACTGCTGATTTGTGTAATTCTGTTCTGATATTGATTTTTTTTTTTCTATCAAAAGATGAGGTACAGACACACAGACCGACTCTATTCAGCCGGGAGACGGAGTAACACGCCAGGACGGCATGATGGAGTACCAGTATTTGTACAGGAACGATGTGAGGAGAGGCAACTAAAGAAGGTAAGAAATATATGCTGTAATAAAATAACTTTCTCACAGGGTTGGTCAATCAATTGTTCAATGTATCAATGAATATCAATCAATCATTAAGTACAAATACTGGTCTCCCTCCAATTAAAGAGTATTTTTGGGACTGGTGTTTACATGGTCTTTAGCAGCTTTGGTCTCTACTTACAATAATGAAAGACATTTGTTAATGTGGGGGGGAGGGTCCCACATTGGGAGAAGTCATTTCCGGGAGATCTGCAGTGGCAGCTCGAAGGGTGGCGGAAGAGAGGGACTTTTATAGATGGAGGGTCTGGACCACATTAGCCCCACTATGGTTGGTTCTCATGGTAAGAAAATTTATGATTATAGGCCTAGGCCCCTAGCACCTCAAGACAGCTGGAAATAGCCCTCTCGTCAGAATTTGAATATAATTTTCTTTTCTACCCAATTTTTTTATAATTTTGAAATATTTAGGGGCAAGGGATGGCTTCCCCCTCCATTGAATCTGCCATTGATTGGTTAATGAGCTTTCTTAACACATTTAATTTAGTTTTGCTGGACAGTGATACCCATCGGCAATAAATTAGTGGAAACAAGCAAAATTATGAATTTTCAGAGATGGGTTAATTTCCGGGCGATTCTTGCTTACTCGCGGGAGTGCGGGAGGCCGTCCCGGTTTCCAGGAGACTTAGGACCCGTGGGGACCACAGAATGTGGTCTTTAATTGGAGGGAGCTCTTTAATTAGTGGGAGACCTGGTGATATGTGCTACTAGACATACTGTAGATGGTACTTATCTACAGTCTGCACTATCAAGTTTTCTGGAACAAATATTTGTGATTTTGCCATTAATAGGCATGAAGATGTCATATCTCAATTGATATTGTGAACAGTGCTCAAGTGATTTACATTTTATCATCAGATATAAAAGAATAAATGCTTCTTATGCAAATGCTACTTTAGGAATATAGTGATAAATTATTTTTTTATTATATAGTTTTTATAATTGTAGTTTTTGCATTGCAGACAGAGTACTTAGAAGCTATTACAAATGCTTACTTAATGAGTGGTGTCCTACCTCCAGCCACCCAAGGTATGTTTACAGTTACTTATATTTTAAAGTCATCAGCAGTTTTTTTTATCGATAGTAATCATATATTTAAAAATTTAATATAATATTGATTTTTTTTTCATAGATCAAACAACATTCCATTACTCCCAAGGGAACCATGGGTTAGCTGCTACTGGAGTCCCCCTGGGCCATGTGGAAGGCCTGTGCCCACACCACGAGAAAGCATTTGCAGAGAATTATGTTGCCAATCAACTTGCTGACTTACAATTTGCAGGTATGGTCCCAATCTCACTACAACCCTATTCCAACTCTATACCCACCCCCATTCTTAACAAAACACTATCTGTATCACAAGTCCCATCTCTGCCATTGATGCCATTACCAGCACTGACTTCTTGTTGTAATACACCCTTTCGTTATTCATCCAACCCTACTTCTCCCATATCTATTTTATTTCCATCTCCACTTTTAATCCTTTACCCACAATTAACCCAATCATAACCCCTTACTCTGTCTCATCCCTCCCTATTACTACCCTAACTCTATTTCTACCCTGACTCTATATACTTGTTTGACCCTTATGGTAATATAATTTGAGAATTATAAAAAGCCTTGAGAAAGTTACTAGATACAATAAGAAAAACACAATATAGAGTCGGTATATTTGGCAACTCAACACTGTTTTCCAGGGTATTTGTAAGCCCTTGCAAATCTGCTAGTTCAAACCATTTATTCATTTATAACTTAGCAAGCAATTTAAACCGCATAATCTCACATGTAAGGCCTGCCAACTGATAATGTCAGCTTTCAGGAAACAGCAGTTAGATGTGGAGGATAAATAGAAGCTGTAAACAATCAATCAATCAATCAATTATTCAATTGTTGCCGGACCTAATCTAGACGTTGGCTGCCAAGTCTTTCCAAGCCTTTCTATTTCTTGTGAATGTAGCACTTGGATGGGTGGGAGATGTTATGTTCTATATAAATTAGTGACGTAAGTTATCAATTTTCAATGAGACAGATCAGAACAATAAAAAAATCCCAAGATATAGCTACCAGCCAGTTTAAGGGTCTATACAAAGTATATTGAAAGGAGATTGAGTATATGACAGATAATTGGAGGGCGAAATCAACTTCTGGTGAAAGTTAATAATTTACCTAAATACACAAAGTAAACTTATCAAATATAAATTTAACATGGACATGAAATAATATTTAATATCTAATATGAACATTTCTATATTAATACTGTATATTATTTGATATTTTTTTATATTTTATATAAAATGAAGATGAAAAATTTGATTGGAGCCATTCAGTTGTTGACACGCGAAAGACTATTCAGTCACTTGGCCAACGGGCGCCCTCACCTTTTCAAAATCGACCTTGCAACAAACAAATCAACTCAACGCTCTCAATGCGCAGTGGCAAATGGGGATCAAATGAGAAGGTGGTTCCAGTTGGAATAGATAATACAATGGTTGACAGACGATCAAGGAGTCCCTTGAAGAGCATGTCGTTGCTCACAGATGACAGTCAAACATATACAGAAATTGTTACAAAAGGTTAAAAAAATTAGTTATTTAGTTAAGAAATATATTTTTAATTGTCTTAAGGAACTGATAAGAATCGTATTTCTCACTAAAATTGCTTGATTGACACAAACTTCTTATGAATTTTAGTTGAAACTACTGTATCATTCGAATCAATGTTTGCCCTACCTGACGTGTTGTAGTACTGAATGTTCAGTATGTTCCCAAATGCTTACAAAAAAAAAATGAGTGATTCAGGTGGGAATCGAACCCACGACCTCCAGATAACTAGCCTGGTGTCTTAACCACTCGACCACCGAGCTTGCGCTTGGTGGCTAGTGATGAATCCGATCCCCAAGTAGTAGGGGGACTGCAATACTATTCAATGGCTTTGTGTCAAGAGAAATAATATTAATCAATGTTGGCCAAACTTGACATGTTAAGGTACATTCCCAAATGCTTGCATTTCATTATTCTGATTCGTTTTAATGTAATACCGTATACATACTGATTTGATTGGTATTTGGTGTTTTCTTTTTCAGGATTTACTTCTAAATCATTAACTCGCAGTAAATGCCCATCCGCAACAAGTATTCATGTATACAACGGGTTTGTATTGAATTCTGTTTATATATAATTTGTATGATTTGTGTTGTTGGCTTTTCCCGCTACATCGGAAAAGGTATTGTTTTTGTTTTGTTTGGCTAATAAAAAGTATAAGGGTGGAGAAACCTTTTCAATTCATCATATGAGGTTTTGATGTTTTTTCTTTTTTACTTATTTAAGACGAGCAAGTTCAGGTAAACAACAGGGTTCACCTTTAATAAGGTCATCTTCCAGACAGCTGACAAGAGGTTAGTTATAACTCCATTATTTGTATTATCATCTTCAAACAATTATGTTTATATTTTATGCTTATTGTTATTGTTGTGTGTAATTGTCATCGCGATCGTCATCATTATCTTTATCATCTTCATTATCATTATCAAATTTATGTAAATTTTGTATTTAAGCAACATGTATTTTCGTTGAGATTTAGCTTGAAGGTTATAGAATAAATTCCTTCCAGTCCCAATGTACTGTGTATCCATGCATTCATTCTGTACATATACACTATTCTTTTGATCAGTTTAAAAATTAGTCCATATTATATATATCAATAATAGGATTATAATATTTACTTATTCTTCTTGCAGGGAATTTGGAAAAAAATGAGACTTCCAGACAAGGTTTGTGAATAATGTTTACTGAAACTTTTCTAGCATAGACCTGTAGAACCTAATACTCTTTGACAAACAAGTAACAAAATAATAATAAAAATAATATGGATAAAGAATAAGCTCATGCCCAAAACAGTACTTTATTCAAAGTAGTGGAGGGAGACCAGTGACCTGACCTGACAGTGATTATAAATGGAGAATGACTATTAATATCCTGTGTGAATTGTGAAAGAAAAATACAGTACTAAAATAGTAAAAAGTGTAATGTTTCATCGGTATTATATGCACATAGTTTTCCTCCCACATTTTTCCAACTTGCTGTACAGACTCACTTTCCCCATACACATGCCCAAATTTGTCATTACACCCACATCTCATATACACCCTCTCGCTCTTCCCGACCACACACATTTGTCTGTATACACACTTGTATCTCCCAATGAGATTGAAAATTATCCTTAAATATCTGGTTGAATCACTTCCCTAGACACTTGATCCGATTCTCTTCATTCACAGGGATGGGCTCTCCTTGAATATACTGTATAATTTGAATCTGCTAGTTGATTTCCCCCTTTCTTGATCATCATTCCTCTAGTCTACTACAAGTAGCTACAAAATCTAACTTTTAGTCTTTGTAAGCAAATTTGTAATTAACATGAAAAGCATGTCTTGTAGCAGTAATAAGGTTTTAGACAAAGTAACGATTTTGGTCAAGGGCTAGCCTTTTTTTTCTTGAGGAATAAAATCCATGTTGTCTCTACCCACCCCTTATTGATCAGTGATTATTGATATGCTATTAATCAATGATTATTAAGGCCAGAAAAACATTGTGTTGCCCAAGCCTGACCACCTAAAAATTAGGGTCAGCCTTTTTCCCAAAGAGCCCAAACAACATGTATGGTGTTTCATAATGCCACTTTTCAATCTTTAAAACTGATTGGGATGAGTAATGATTAGAAATGTACCCTACAATTATGTCTAGGCGATATAGAAAAAAAATGCGAAAAAATAAAAGAATTGACAAGTGACCTTGGTTATTAAAAGTCTCTGTGCTTGGGCAAAGCAAACATTTTTTTTTGGTATAATCTGCTATAATATCTGTTTTTGTCCTTGCTTTTAACTCTCAGGACCTCGTCCTTCTAGTAGTAGTGTAGACCAAACCTTGTCTGTCGCATTGAATCAAAACCAACATGTAACGTTTACACCACAAACTAACGCAATGAGTGCAAGTAGAAACTCTAGGTTAGTATGCTATAGATTGTAGATATGTGATTTTTTATATTTGTTTGTTTATCTTAATAATGATAATCAATGTTTATTTACTTTACTACTGTTCATCAAATATGAATAAGACATTGACCAGGCATACACTATACAGTGGTGGATCCAGGGATTCAAAATAGAGGGGGCCCGGGAAGGTACTGTCACAGATGGAGGATCTATACCACCTTGGCCCCACCATGGTTGGGGTTCAGGTCGTGGTCCTCGGGCTGGCTGGGCCCCCTTGAATCATCTACCATTTTTATCAGACTACATTCCACTTTGTGATCACACAATTTTTTTAGATCACACTTTGTGCTCAGCTTCCAAAAGACATGGAAAGACACATGATATGTTTGATCAGATGTCCAAAACATACATACACAATCAGGTGAATTCTGACTTAATGTCTGTTAATTCTGATAAGACAAAAAATCTGATCAGAAATTTAACAGGACAGATGTGATCCAACATTTTCGTGATCAACAAATGACTAATGGTTCATAAACTACAAGTGCTAGTAAAAATGACTTAAAAATAAATTATCTTAAAAATGACTGAAATCCAACACAATTATTCAGACTTAGCTAAAAATGATGGATCCCAAAAAAGAATGAATAAAAAATGACAGACTCTGAAATGACTCAAACTGAAATCATTGACTCAAAAGATCACTGATTTCAAGATGATGTCATTATTAGTCATATTCATGCAAATTTCTCTTTGATATTTTTGTGCTGTTTGTTGTGTCTGTGTCCATGTGTGTATGTCTATGTAAAAAAATGTATAATTTTTTGTGTACTTAAAAAAACCTGTGAAGTGTATTCAATAATGATTGCAGTACAATGTATATAATTTTGATTTCTCTGTTGAAATATTTTAAAGTTATTTACTATTAATGTTTGTTTATTACTAACTGGAATGTACAGTTTTTTGATAGTGTATTTTAAACTTCAATTTTTTCTTAATTTTTAAATGTTAACACTTGAATTTAGATTATTTTGAGAATTTGGCAACATCCATTTTAAATTATACTGAATTTATCAGGGAAAAAATAAGCTAAATTTTGGATGGTGTTTTTGCATGTTTGTGCTGTAGTTCAAGTCCAGCATTCTGTTCATTAAGTTGGCTCTATCACAAGTTATTTCGTGCCTGCATTCATCCTTTATTGAAATTCATCCAGGTCTTCGCATCCTGGCTGCAATAAGTGTGTATCCAGTTTTCAGTGACTGGTACATTCAGTGCTATGCATTGCACACATGATCATCATGATCACACATCGTGATGCCTAGCAAACCTATGAAAACAGCTTCATAAAAACCCGGGTTTATATTGGGGAATACCCCCAAAAAAATATAATTGAATGTCAGCATACGGCATCCTGTATGTGTATCCTCTCACGTAAAAACATGATTCTTCTATTTTCTGTGTGAGAATGTTCTTGGAAAGTCAGGATTACGTCTTCACGCATTCGTGATGTTCAATCAACCCATGAACACAATTTTTTTCAATTCCTATATTTAAATAAGCACTGAAGATGCAAGTCATGGATATCTATGTAATTTTTTTTTATAATGCTGGCTGTTCAAATAATGAAATTTATTGTCCATGTCACTAAATTTTTTATAATCGTATATTCAATGGAGGGGCAGTTATTCTATCTTAGGAATAATTATTTAGATAAACCAAACTTTTCCATTTTTTCTGTAACTGAAACACCTCTCAAAAATGCATAGAACCATCCATCTCAAAACACTGTATATATTTTATTTATTTTTATTTCAACAATATTTTGTTAGGGTAATCCATCCAGCCTGAGCTGATCAATTGGGACCCTCATATCCATGTGAACCTATGTGTTCATCCGTATCTTTTAGTCTCCATTATGAATTTGCATATGTGAATGGCGTAAGTACTTGCAAGCGTTTAATGGAGTGTTTATTGGAACGTGTTTAACGTTGTGAACGCTAATAATCACAAGTGGTAATGACGTAGTGCATAGGAACGCAGCATATGATACTTGTGACAAAGCCATTTTAATGTACCAAGCATGCATATAAGTTTTATTCTGCTTGCTTTTCAAGTTGAACACCAAGCCTGCTACGTATATGCTTGATTGCTTTAAGTTTGCTTGCACTAGCTTTAGCTTAACATGCATCTAGGTAGCTTTTTACTACTTGCTTGGGGTTTGCAATTGATAATCACCGCTTTGCACTCATGTTCACCAAAAATGACCTCTCTCTCCTAGTGAGGCACCTAGTCAGATCGGCATCACTAGCCAGTACAGAGGTACTAGCGTTAACTCTTCCACCGTCACAGCCTCCGTACCCAAGTATACTGGCGTCCAAACGGTAGTGCATCCCGTAAGTTATATTGCCTGGTTCTTATATTTAGCATTTCAAGCTTAGATATAATATAATACTGCTTGGAAAGGGTAAAGGTTTTTTTGATAATAATCTAGTATTATTCATTTGTAAAAGATACATAAACTGTAAGTACATAAGAATGATTTATGCAAACATATTCATTTTCAAGATATATTAAAGTATATAATAAAAATATATGCTTATTTTACATTCAGTGCTTATTCATTCATACATACAAATATCATAAATGCTAAAATTGTATCACATACACTATAGAATATACTGTCTGTGGAAAAAAATCTGAGCAAATATTTTTTCAAAAAAAAAAAAATCAAAAAACTAAATTGCGTATTTGAATGAAAAATAGATTATAAACTTCCAATAAAAACTTACAGATTATAAAGCCTTAAATTTTATGTCAGTCAGTTTAAGGGTTAATGTAAAAAATTAGGAATAGTTTTATTTACTTTTTCTGTTTATTGGCAAGGAAAATGTTTTGATTGACAGCTTATAGCATTGGACAGCAGTTATACAATTAAAACAAAAAATATTATACGGTTATTAGCGTATACTAACACAGACTGTGTATCTTTAACATGAAATATTGCATTTATTTACACATTCAGTAAAATGGATCAGTTTGTACATTCACATTATCTTGTGTATGTCATAAATGCTGAAATGAAGAAAGTATTCAGTGACCACAGGACCATTTACAATGGAGAAGCCATGTAGTAGTTAATCCAATTTTTTTTATACGATTATTTTAAATAATTTGCATATACTGCCTATTTAATATAACGGGTATATCATTATGGATAATGTGTATTATATTGGAATTTTGTTGAATTAATGTTATCGTGGTAATAGGGCATCTTATATCGGTGTCAGTATTGTATTCTTAACATTTTGTGCTTGTTAATGGCCCAACCATATATCTTTAGAAAAGAATTCAACTGACTGGAAAATATTGAGTGTTTTTTTTGTAATTGTATTTTATTCAGTCAAGCTACTAATTTTAAAAACATTATAACTGATGTACTTTTTCTTAAATTAGAACGAGAAAAATGAAACAGACGGTAGAGTTTCTTCCCCAACTTCATCAAAACAATCTGATAATATAACTTTGAACATTGATAAAGATGAGAAGCCTAGTCCACGGAACACTGCTCTTAAATCGCATCGTTGCAGCACTGAGTCCACCCCTATATCTGATTCATCAACATTTAGCTTTAGATACAAAAGTGCAAACAGTTCGCATCATTTCTCAAATTCGCAGAATTTCTACGGTAATACAGTCATCATGCAGAACTGCAAGGGTGCTGTTCAAATTGAGGGTAGACCGACTACTAGATACGTTAAAAGAAATGAGTCGGGGAGCAGCTCTGCAATGAGTTTCAGGAGCAGTGAATCGAGTGACGTACGAAGCGTATCCAGCGATACAAGGCCAAAGAGCACAAGTGAACATTTGATAAATTACACGAATAAAAGAACTGAAACAAATAATACAGACAACCAACATGCTGCAGATTTTGAAAAAACAAAGCAAACTTCACAAACAATCCCCTACAATACACAGGTATTTATTAGTGATACTTCTACCGAGAGTTTTACACCAAAACAAACAGAGAAGGAACATTATGAAGAACAAGAACATGCAGAGCAAGTTGGACCAAACGTTAATTATAACAATGTAAATGACAGTAGTTTAGTTGATTGTGTGACTAACCATGATCAAAACTATGAAAAATGTTCTACGAATCAGAATCGTATGATAAAGAATGTTGAAGGCATGTTAGCAAAGACGGCTGAACTGAGAAAAAATGATTCAAATGGCGGCGTCAATCCTAAATTACCTCAAAAAGAAATCAGCCATTGTGAATCAGATTCATTGGATTTAAACCAGCATGGACAACCAGCGACACCTAAAAATATAGGAACAACAAAATCGACACAAAATTCAATCGATTACAGCCAATTGCTGGACAACAAGCACGCAATCTCCGACAGGTTCATGATTGCTCGCAATCCGCAAAAATATTTCCAAGTTTCGCGTCTTGAATTGCAAGACAAAGCTGTCAGGAACTCGATGGATGATGCCATGTTTGCTGGGTTGAATTCTCAACCGGTTATTCCAGAAATCGAGGGACGCAGACTAATTACACCGAGAGAACATATACGTGGGTCAAGTTCCCATAGCGCACGTGTTAACCACTCTCCACGACTTCCCCGCTCCATACCATCCCCAATTCATCGAGGTGGAGATGCAATGAGTAAATATCAGACTAATTATTCGTTGAACCCAGCCAATCAGTTAGAGATCATAGTGAATAAGCCACCGTCGCTAAAGCCAACAGATTCAGGAGGGATACGGTCGCAAATACAGCGTTTGATTGATCCAGAGAGTCCAGAGGTGGTGATGCAGAATCAACGAGAAGCCCCAAAGGTAATAACTCCTTGTTTAGTCACAGGCCAAGTTGAATCGTACACAGTGACGAAAGGAAGCTCACGGGATAAGCAACCTGTGAAAAAGGTGAGAGAAAGGAATTCCCAGATTTCTTTGAATAATTTCATTCCTAAACTTCAATGATGATAAAACTAATAATCTTATTTAAAAAATAAAATATATTATTTGAATTGACAGAACTGTTTCAGAATTAAACTCAGATCTAAGTATATTTTGCATTATCAATAGAATGTTTTTGTTAATTCACTTAAATACATAATTTTTACTCTATTCTGAGCTTGTCACTTGCTTGTAGTTCCACTGGTAAAATATAAATTACTGACACTATTTTTTCTTACTAGGAGAGCAGAATGTATACTAGCCGTACTCCAAGGTTTAAGGAGCCGTCATTAGCCAGTGTTGCATTCTCTAATCCAGCGTACATCTATAGCATAGAGCAGCATGGAGTGTTGTCTGGTAGCGCCCTCAAATGCCCTTCACTGCGATCAAATCAAAGAAAGTATTAGATCTCACCATGGAGGTGGTCTCACAAAGCCATGGTGAATGCCTATGAACAGACTCAACATTCCAAGACATTCAATTGCAAATAATTGCCTTTTTAGTTGGTATCAGCTAGAGTTAAGTTGGGCTTTCCTTATGAAGTTCATACGATCAACCTAATTTTATCTTTATCATTGAGTTATTGTCCATTGTTTTAATATCTGAAAATCAGAATTTTTTTTTGTTCAAGAGTTTTGAATACAACCAATAGGAATAGTCTTTATATACTTCATCTAGATGAGCTTACATATTTTGTTTGTTTTAAAATTTGTGCAATATTCTGCTTTATGTTTATAATTTTATATAGTTGAGCTTTCCTCTCATCATTCTTTATTACAAATGTCATATAAATTTACAAAAGAATGTACATAAAAACCCAGGTCAATAACTGAAAATTTCAGATACATGCAAGGTAAAACAAACTTTACGGACAATTCACAAAACAATATTTGATTGAGTAAACTGATTTTATATTTCAATTAACCAATAATTATAAGAATAATAATAATAATAATAATAATAATAGTAATAATAATAATAATAATAATAATTATAATTATAATTATAATTATAATAATAATAATAATAATAATAATAATAATAAGTTTATATATTGACATTTACAATTCAAAGATTGTAACATTTGCTTTTATGACATTACTGCCCTGGTAATTGAATCATCGACAAACATGAGCAATGTGTAGCCTTCTTTACTCCCTTGGGAGTATAACAGTGCAGTGCATTGCAAACAGATTCTATACATTCAATGCCATGTACACTTATGTACTGCAGTGCTGTAGGATATAACGAAAAATGAACAGCCTTGGATTTGAACACCTGAACATAAGCTTTATAGCTGCTGTGTGCCATCCACTTTCATGGTCTAATTGTGTATCTATAAAGATACACTGAATGGAATTAAATATTTGAATTAACATACTTTTTACAGGAATGATTTCAAAACAAACAAAATGGGAAAAAAGTAAAATTTAAACATTCAAATTTAATGACATTTATTCATTGCTTATTATGCAATACCTTGAGTAAAACGTGTCCTAATGAGAAAATCCAAGGCTGTGCACCAATTGGCCTCATAGCTCAGTTGGTAGAGTATGCGAGGGGTATTCGGAAGGTCTTGGGGTGGAATTCCGATAGGGACATACGTTATTTTCTCAAATATTTATTATATTTAACATTTAAATCTGTCATTTTACTTTCTGTCCATCTAGAGTTGTCATAACCATAGAATTCCAAACCTCAGCTTCAACTTTTGGGCTGTAGTCCATCTGCAAAGTCCCTCCGTGTGTTTACTCTATTTTGAATTCCTGGGTCTGCCGCTGTTGTGTATTTAAAATTAAAAGGTGTCAACTTTCAGTTAAAAATGAGCACAGGAAAATAATAAACTTTTTTTTTTAATACTTATTCCCTTATTCATTGCATAAACACTTAGATTGGCTGACTGGGAATTTAAGACCTTAATGGACCTTTCTTGAGTGCTAATCAAACTTAAAACAACTGACCAATCAGAACAGGGCCTGGAATATGTGCGCGTCTCAAACAAGCAGCTGCCCACGTGTTTTACCACAAACGCATGTGTTTGCCTATGTTGAAACACTAGGGAGCTTTCGATTGCACGACGACGACGGTAGGACGTAGAACGCAATGACGTCAGTAAAAGTCATCTGCGCATGCAGGAACGTTAAGGTCACCTCGTCGAGTAGATTCTGGAACGCAATTTGGCCAAATTTACGTATGCAGAGAACGTATTACGCCATGTAGGACGGTCACGCATGAATGATTCCGTTCTAGCGTCGTGTCGTCGCACAAATCGAAAGCTCCTTAATGTCGTTTTGTGTGATCTTATCAACAAGATTCAATTGGGTGGGGAGGGTGAGGTTAGCGAAAAAGTCCATTGGTCTTTTTAAATATGTAATTTATTGAACTAAATTCTTTATGGTTTTTAGACAGCATATCTTATATACGTTGTAGGGTGAACATTCATAATGTATATTTGTTTTAACTGTGACCATTCTGCAAAACAGAGTGATTGAACAGTTTCCCCCCTAAAGGGGAAATCTACAGGGTTCTGCACATTATAATGCATAATGCTGCTGATACGATCGGTTCCTCCTGGATTTAACATTTCTATAAATGGGCTTAGGAATTATAGATAGAGATGGCACGTGGGACTACTGCTAATCTGAACTCATCTGTTCTGTCAAGGTTCAGTCTGGTTCTTTACAACATTATTTTGATAAATGTGACGTGTCATGTAATGCTTAGTTACCATAAAATCGCTTCTCTGTCGGTAGGTGTTTTCACTGAACTCGACGCAATCAGGGAGGACTCCCCAATTTGAACGACATCAGCTTCGCCAACAGCTCTCAGCGATAGTATGTAGTGATTTTATGGAAACCAGTCTGAAATGTTAAGATACAGCTTTTCTAGAAAGAACTGTAATGGTTTCTGAATGCATAGCCTATTGTATTCAGGACGTTATTTACCTTTAACAATTTTTTCCATAACTTTATTTGTACATTTTGCAGAAATATGAATGAATAAAGTATGAAATATGAAGTATCGTCAATTTACATCACTTTCTTCAGAGCTTTTTTAGGCCCTCAGAATGTGTTTTGTTGGCCAAGCACAGTGACAATCTGGGTTGGTCTGTCGGGTCGGTCGGTTAGGATTTTGCTTTCAGCTATAGGCCCAATTCTAGGATTAATGGCTAATCGTCTCTCGCCTCTTGTATTTTGTCTAGTAAAGTAATTAAAGTATTCCTTTTCACACATCATATTTGTATTTTTGAGTAATGATGTATTCACAACGCTAGAACCCTCATCAGATTCAAATTGTGACCTACTTTCTGGCTGTTGTTGAAGACATTTTGAGTCACAATGCCTGCTTTTTGCTTATGTATTATCCTACTGATGTTGAACCATTAAATGCGTGCTGTAAGCTGTCTTTCCTGTGATTCATATAAGAAAAAAACAAAGAATGAAGATATGGTCGACTTCTTATATCTGAATAAGAATTCTATATTTGGGAATCTTGTTAGAGACAAGTGATCGTAGTGTGAATCTGCAAGATTATAATATTGAAAATGTGTTATATGCCGTTTTAAAACTCTATTCTAAATTTTCATTAATTTTTGACAAATGTATATAGCGTGGGCCTATTTATATGGCTACTGTATATACTGTATTTAATGTGTTCAAGAACATAAAAATCACCATTTAGAACATTTACTATAGGCCTACGAGGAAAAGGATTCAATCCTTTACTCATATTTCTAGGTACATGTATTGTGTTAAGGTGGTAGGCTACATCTTCGTCGCCAGCTGAAGTCTCTTTCATGATATGCGTACAGTAGGCCTACATTTTGGCGAGTGCATGCTTTACGCTGTATCACAACCAATCAGTATATAGAGCAGTGGATGTTCACACATGTTCAATGTATATTAGAATGATGAATACGGTACGCGCTCAAAAGTACATGTAATAATAATAATAATAATTGCTGCGAAGCAGCCAATTCATATTCTTGACAGCATTTTGACCTCGGAAAGGTCATTGTTTGTCAAAAAACAAGGGCCTAAGACGACTGAAAAGCGGAGTTTCCTTCTTTCGTTCTGTCGGGTAAAATCAATTACTTTAGGCGACGTTTGTAGACTAACCTACACGTACCAACGTACGCATGTCGCGACGCTCGAGTATTACTATTCAGCGTTTTTACTATATTTCTAGGTTTCTTATTTCTACGTTTAATCGGCCCATGTCCCAGCCACAATATTTTGAGGCCAATATTATTTACGAACCCAGTTAATACTTATTTACTAGCCTATTTGAGCGTGCTAATTATTACATTTAGGTGACGCTTGTTGTAGACTGTCATACACGGTACCAACGCTCGTTTTTAATATGTTTCTACGTCAGCTCGTCAGTGTTCTAATATAGACAATGGGTCGTGTCTCATATTATTTGTTATATTTTTATTATAAATTATTTTCACTTGACTCACATAAATAATTTTGTTCGAAGAACATTTATATGCACTGTTGTACTTTGCAGCACTTCACTTGCAATTTGCAATTTCTAGTAATAATAATAATAACAATAATAATAATAATAATAATAATAATAATAATAATAATAATAATAATAATAATAATAATAATTCATATATATAATATATATACACATGTATTTTCTCATGAATGAATCACTTATTAATATTTGGAAAAATACCAGATATAGTAGGACTAAATACTAGAGGAAATAGGTAGCTGAATATATAGACAGATATAGAGGATTACATTAGTAGCCTGGATTTTAGGCCCATTATTGATTTACTCGTGTCATATGCGAGCTTAGGATCATATTAAAGAACAAAAATTGATGTCATTTTATATATTTACTAAAGATTTAGACGGAGTAAATATTATTATATTATAACTGATACGGTATACAGTGCTGTAAATTAACCGATCACAATTCAGCACAATGACGCTATACCGTAGGTTATGGGTTATTCTTCTGCCATTAAGTTAGACTTTACATGAATTCACCTCAGCAAAATATTAACGTCGGTGCCGGACATCCATTAGACCAATGTGCATATGCATGTGTTGTATGCAAATCACATTCATATTGAAATAATAAGTAACAAAAACATTTCTAGAAAACTTATCCATGTAATGACTCAATGAGGATCGATTCTTGGAATTTGTTAATTAAATTCATTACCCTTTGCCTACAAAACTACCTTGCTGCAGTGTTGGTGGTCTATTCCGACGCCGTCTCGGAGTATTTACAATGTTAGTATTTATATTTCTATGGAATTATTAGAAATGGCTTTACTTATTTTATATTTCCAATAATTAAGTTTTGCTGGCAATATTTGATGCAATATGTGCCTTTGACGCTACGTACCCTTTAACACATCAACATCTAATTAGGTTGAATGACTGAATTTCCCGCTGAATTTGATAGCGGAAAATCGTAATCAAAACACGATTTAGTTTGTAGCGGCTCTCTACCTTGATAATTACAGAGTGCGATATATTTTCCGTTTGATTGAATATAATCCAAACCGAGAAATGTGTGTTATAAAAACTGTTCATGCTCATTTATAATAAGATGGCTTGAATATACAATGTCACGTTTGTTTGAAAAAGAGTAGGCCTAACCCTGTCTCTTATACACATCTAGATGTGTATAAGAGACAGATACTGTATTTAATGTGTTCAAGAACATAAAAATCACCATTTAGAACATTTACTATAGGCCTACGAGGAAAAGGATTCAATCCTTTACTCATATTTCTGAATAATTCCCAAAATATATGTAAATCCTTTTTGTATAACTCCTCTTCAAGTTGGTCAAATATTAAAGTTGGTCAAATATTAAAGTGATTGTTATGTTTTCGTAGGTGATGGAACTCGTGAGTACTTCCCTCCATCATGATGTCACTTCTTGCGTGCTTACATTCACAGTAGTATGGGGCGGGGCGGGACCTACGGATGAATACCAACTAGAATTTGACGTCATTTCGTGAAAACCATTTTCCAATCATAGCACTAAAATTTTTATCAGCGTGGTGACCTGCCATCAAATGATAACAGTCGTATGTATTTCTTAAATGGTTTAGTGTCGAAACAATAATTCCATTGTTTCTCTCGGATATGACTAGGCCTATGGTATAATCGCTAGACTTTCACATCCGTACCAAACAATAATCATTTGCAACGTGCTGGATTTGTGATTATCAGTTGGCGACAACTAACTCATGATACCATGGATAAAGCTGCATTCACATCGGATCCGAACCGAATTTCGGACCGCGTTTCCGATTTGCTGAACGCCAGTGTCCCTATTCTTACACACTGATTCTGTTTTCTGATCGGTTCGGTAGGCCTTCGAATCTGAAAGTTCGAATCGGATTCGTTCTGAATGCAGCAGTTTTACTCAGGTCTCTACGTTAAAATCCAGGCATATATTTCGTGAATATTTAATCCCAATGTTCTTCATAACCCTGGGTATGTACCGTAGGTGGTACAGTACGGTATCAGATGGCATCCTGGATAATTGTCTTAAATTCATTTATTACTATTATTTTATGTACATGTGTATTTATTTATTTATTCATTTATTTTTAGAAAAAAAAACGTATTGTGCCCATCGGGATTCAAACCTAAGACCGTCCGATTACCATTCGTAGTCTGCCAACTGAGTTATAAGACCAAACTTATAAGACACTTAAAATCAAAATAAGCTTTATTGTACTGCACTAATACAAGGACTCCGATTCACGGGAGTAATCTTTTGGTTCACAATGCTGATTACGTAGCAAATAAAATTGAATTTTTGATATTTTAAAACAAACAAACAAACAAAAATAAAAAACCAACTAATAATCAAAGAAATGATTCATACGCATCTTTATGTTGTTCACTTATATTTATCACCCTTATAATTATATTCATCTGATACGAAAGAACACTACTCCCCAACAGACAAAAAAGAGATCTTTGTTTAGATTATTTGGAAACAATAGAGTACCATCCATATAAAATGTAATCAAATTTTGTAAGACAAACAAATTCGTGTATTCTTAAGCTCTATCCATACTATCAAATTTTCTTTGAAAAAAAAATGTGACAAGCCCATATATAGTAATGCTATGCCTATATATGGTCATGGTGTGATGTCATCATGCCCATATATGGGCATATCACTTTTTGTCACACAAAATTTGATAGTGTAGACAGAGCTTTAGATCTAGTCTTCTGTGTAGCTTGTTAGTCAACTATACAGTTCAGGCTCGTAGCGTGACTTAATTTGTGGTAGGTTCGTTTCAGTAGAAAGTGGACCCTTTGGAAACCATTATACAAGGGTACGATGACGTCATATCACATACTATCAAAATACCGTATACGAATATCAGTTTTTCGTTTTTAAATGCGAACCTTCTCAAGTTTTTGGGCGGTTCGTTGTAACCTACTTAATCCCCCCCCCCCCACGCTACGGGCCTGCAGTTGGATGTTGTGTTGGAAATTCATGGAGACTTACAATAAATCACTTTAGTTTATAGTATACTCCACATTGAACACTAAATTTGATCATATGATTTTTTGTCTTATTTGAATTTTCATTTATGGTACGGTATCCTGTGAGTCTCATTGGCCCCACTGATATCTACTATAATAGTATAATAGCTATTGTAGTAGAGATCAGTGCATGGTCCCCGTATTTTTAGCGGTAGGTCTACCATTTTATGAAATTATGCACTCTCATGAACTTTTTAAGAAACAAATTTTGTTGAACTGCGGACAAAAGGCGCGTAGGCGTTCCTACAGCTTTTGATTTCGGAGATGACTAAAATTATGAAGCACAACTTCTCTACGGCTTATACACGATATACTGAACTGAGACAAAATTTAATTTGGAATTCCATATTTTATTTACTACATTGGTTACACAAAATATATTCATTTTAATTGAAATATATATTTAACTTGCATTTCAGACACCCCCTAACACCTTCATGAGGGATGGAATTGAACACCCACCCATCTCCGTGGTTCTTGCTCGCACACACAAGAGTAACACAAAGTCAGGAACTTTGTCATTCGTTACCGGTTTCATTGCTTATAATATTATCATTCCCGGCCTGGCCCCTATTTAGGGCTACGTACACTTCTTATCTGGCCATACAATTGCTTGTTTACTTCGTTTAATTGCATAACATTTTTAACATATTCAACTAATGGAACAGTGACTGGCGGGAGTCAGTAGAGGGAAATACGTTCTAATACATTATTATTATTTTTTTAAGAATACGCTTGTCATCTCTGTCAAAACACACAATTATTATCTTATACTGGACAAGTCCTCCAGGAAACCATATATTACTTAGGGCAACTCGCAAACTGTCTATAGGCTTAGGCCTGCTGGTTAGACCTAATTATGATGGCTAACTTTTTTCAAATTTGTTTTAAAAAAAGCAGAACTGTGTCAGTGAGTCCTTGTATAGCTTATTTATCCATACTGAAAGTGTAAATATCCTGATTTTACCAGCATGTGATTAGCTGTATCACGATCCAAGATATGTTTTGACGTTTTGCGGTCATGATACTGGTAACGATAGTTAGGCCTATTTACATCACCACGGCTATATAGCCAGTATATAGGCCTACTGTAGAACAATTATCAATCCAAGTAGGCCTAATATTTCAGTCGGGATGTTTTTTGAATGACAGGTTTGTGGCCTACAGCAGCTCTTATTGAGTCACCACCTCGCCCCGGCAACGAATGTGAAAACGCAGGCGATTCTCTTTCTAGCTCAACGAGTTCGCACTCTAATCACGATCATCCTCCATGTCATCGCTGCTCAATAAACTGCAGGAACCGGATCCTACTTTAAACAGAGAAGGGTCTTTGCATTTTGCTATTTTGAAAACGCATTTACTTTCATAGGTAATCCCATTCGAAGCACATATAGACAGTTTCACTTTATTGCGATCACATTCCTGCTGGAGGCAATCACCTTCTGGAGGTAATGGTCCCACCGATGTTGCGATTTCAGTAGTCACTGTTGGAAAGAACAAAATACATGCCTGAATGGTGATTATAGCAAAATTATTCTTCCATGATTAAAGAGCCCACAATAACTTTCTTCTCCCTTAGTTACTAAGCTATTCTTTCATTTTCAATTTATCCAAATTCTACTCTTATCGTAGCCCGTATCGTAGTCATATCATGGTTTATAACTTTGTTATTATAATATCAAATTGTTATTTTTAATTTCCTATTTGATTGGTGGAAGGAAGCAACAGCATCTCTTGAAAGGGATTGAATATCCTGTAAATGTCGAAGAACTTTTGGCAGAGGTTTTCTACAGTCATTAGAATCTCATGGTCAAGAAGAATTATTTATTGAAAGCATCCGCTGAATAATCTACGGATGTTTAGTATTTCCTAAGAGAAGGCGACAACGGAAGATTGACAATATTGGATTCTGTACTAACCAATAATTAGGTCTATAGTAAACAAATACAGACGAGATTTATTAATTAATGGAACCGCTTATATTTTGCGCCACATTCGTGTTTACTTAATTAAGTAATTTATATAACAATTTTAAGTACTGTATATGTTTTGGATTATAAGTAATTTTATTTTTGCACATTTTACAAAATAGAATTTGGAAATAGCTCTGTTACACTTGATGCGAATCCAAATTGGCTCCCGATGGAATGCGTTTCTCATTCAGTTATTCAAAACAGTCTTCAGACAAGAGGTTATTTTGATTGAAATGTGATGTATAGACTAAAGTTTGCGGATTAGTTAATATATTTCATATTTCTTTTCGAATGTTAATTTTGTCAGTGCACGTTGCTCGAGTATGTCTCGTACTGAAGTCTTAATAAGACAAAATTAGCTCGGACCTCTATGGAAAACAACTATGATCCAACGCCCTATTACGTCCACGTTTTCAGCTTTGTAAAACTGTAAAATACTTAACGTATAGTTTCACTTCGTGATGGTTACAAGAGTGACGTAACATAAATATTTTTTTTTTTTTTGGTTTTCCTAGTGTTTTCTATCTATATATGCTCATCGTATATATCATTCATAAATCAGTATGTCTATTTCACCATTTTTCTTGCATTGTATATTAATTCTCGGCACTGTATTTATTTGTCTTTACAGACGTTTCGCATAATCAACATTTTCTTTAATTGATTACTAGCCAAATTTAAGTCAGGAAATCAGAAATATTATTTACGCGGCTGCTAATTACAGAGAAAAATATTTTCTCTTTCTACTTTTTATTTGAAAGCTAATAAGTTAAATAAAAGCAATTCAATTACATGTCACTATTAAAGTCAACACGCAGTAGGCTACATAATCTACTTCGTAAAGAATTTATTATCAGCAACATTGGTTTAATCATCGGTGACACTATTAGGCATGCTTCACATCTCTAAGCTAAACTCTATAATTAGAAGCATTGGTATTTGTTTGATTATTCTTTCCGATTCTATAGGGCCTATTCAAAATAAATAGTGTATATTTTGTCATATTTTGTTTGATCTTTGTTGTAATTTTAGGTATGCAACGAGCATGGATGTAATATATGAAAATAGTAAACGAATGAATTATTTTTAGGACTATTTAATTAGTTGCTAAAACGGTTAATTCAACAATATTATCATCGTTATATTTATGTTAATTGTTACAAAATATCCTACCTGGCTGGAATCTGCCATCACCTACAAGATGGTGCGGCTGTGTCGGAAAAACCAGTCCATTTGTCTCTAAATAAAGATATAAAAAGATATTAAAAGCGTAATGCAAAAATTGATGTTTAATAAAATTTAGAAAAAAATACTTAATCATAGTTTTGAGAACTATAATCATAATTGTTTTAAAACAGTTCTTATTACAAAATAAATATACTTGATATCACACTGATTTCGGTTGAACAGTTATTTTAAGGCCGGACCACTGGGCGCGTATGCATATATTGGCTACGCACCTCATTCAGCCAATCGATAATGAAAAGTTCAGAAAGTTTGTATTTTAACAGAAATATACGAATGTTGCTACAATAATTATGCTTTTAGCTCGTCATTTATTTATTCATTCAACCCTACATGAATATGTATTTAGTGTTGGTTAACTTACTGTCTGGTTTCGACGCTCAGGCTATAACTGCCAGCCATATCGAACATAAAAGAAACAGAGTGGCAATGAAAAATGTAACAACTCGTTTTCTTCGTGTAGTTGGTAGTAGTGCAAGTAAATCCGTTGTCAATATCTGTTTGGCTCGATTAAGGAATTCACGGTTATTAGATGAATAAATATGTGTTCGGTACCGAGAAAGGGACAATGTCTTGCATTTCACTTCATCGTACGAATGAGAAGATGTTGGAAATGCCGGTTTGCTGCAATCATCTATAATATCCAGATAGTATGCGTCTTGTTTAGGGGATCGTTTACTACCTCCCTCATTATATAGTTCACGTTCTTTCTTTTTGTAATGACCTGTTATCGTGTCGTACAAATGTTCGTCAATTTTGGGCGCGCTTGGTTCTGTTGTCAATTGCACGAAACTCTCTTTGCCAGTTCCAACGGTGACACTGTTCATATTCGTAACGACATAGTCTGATTCAAGCGTTGTGAGATAATCTTGAGCGATGTCTTTCAATGTTTTCTTGTTCACCTTAGGTGTAGGCGGCGGAGTTTTGAATCTTCCTCCTCCCCAACCTCCTCCACGACCCTTATGTTTGTGTTCTCGTATACCATTCTTTCGGCATAAATGCTGATTCTCGTAAGGTTTCCGTTCAATTGATGTCATATAATCGACAACCGTATGTTTTTTCGCAACATCACAACTGATGGCATTTCGACCTAATGGCCCGGCATCTTTTAAATCTGAAACGTGATAATGCAAATCATTTGACGCCATTTTCTTTTCTGATTGTGTTGACATCGTACTTTAACATATGAAATTAAAAATCAGCTGAACAAGCAAAAAATACTTGGTTTGTAGCTGTGAATTAATTATTTTGTGAAATAAACCAGAAGACTAGGTTGTTGCTGGGATGATAACCGCACTTAATTAATTTGGTCCGACGCCACGTCCATGTATCTGGTCCAAATGGTGAATACACAGTTCCCTCTTGATGTACTTTACCGATCAGCATACATATACGACATGTAAACTTTCTGTAACGTACGCATTATTCACCAACACCGAAAGAACAAAAATATATAAAAAAGCATCAATTTTGACGATGGAAAAGAAAATCTAAGTCTTCAGAAGGCTACGTGCGTAACAGGTAAGTTTCGAAGTGTCCAAGCTAAGATTAACTAATGCATTTATCGTTCAATCGATTTGAAGCGATCTGGGAGTACGATCTCTTAGTTGGCTTGTTCATCTAATCCCAGCGATAGTCAACCGCTCAATGACTAGTTTCCTGTGTTCCTGACGCAATTTATACTGACAATCGTTATTGGAAATATTTCAACTTTAGCAACTTCTGCGAACGTTTATGTTTAAGAAATGGCGTGGGCATTATCCCTCTGGTAAATTTAGTAAATTTTATCAGAATCGCAAACGCCAATTCTGTTTAATTTTAAATAAGCTAATCAGCTATTACAAATTTGCTAATTAATTAAGCTAATAATGTCTCAATATATTAAAATCCGATTGGGCACAGTACATTCTTTTTGAAACTCAACTTTTCATTATGTCTCTCTAAGGTATTATATGTTTGCTGTCACCTGATAAAACCCCATTAGACTTTACCTGGCAGCCTGACGAAGTCAATAAGGGTAGGTGTGGGGAAAGGGGAGCGAAAGTTCTTGTAAAGTAACTATTATGTCTAAATTATTGTCTACATGTAGGCATATTATAGGCCTTATAGGCATACTTGTTTTCTACTTATTTACAGATTTTACAGTCTTAGATATTTAAGCATTACCGCTCAACATTTAAGTTAGTATTTCTTTATACTTAACATTATTAAAAGACCATTTTTTGTTTCAAATGTTGTATATAATTCCTCTGTTTTGCAATGCTCAATGTATTTGGATCAACAAGGTTTTAAGTGATCTGTGGGTATGAAACCTGGATTTAGTGCACCAGTGGGTGTAAGCCAGTACACCATGTTACTATAGTAAGCTTTTCATAGAATTGAATCCAGCAAGAACGATCTAACCATTGCTGCATATGTAGCATGTTAGCAACCGGATGTTACTACATTGTAGTAGCTACATTCACCTGTTGTGTCAGTCCTCCCTCGGGTGCGGCACGATTATTGTCTGGGATAAACCACTGGCTTCTGTTTTACACCCATGGAAAATGAAAGTTTGTCTATTCGACTCCAGCAGGAAGAATCACTAAAGTACCGACAGGCGTTTGATTATTGAAAATATTTGTAAGTTGTGTCCTGAAAATTGTCACGAC